ATTTCAAATGATATTCTTCCTTCTTTTCACTAAACATGGATAAATCACAAGAAAATCATATTTCTAGTTGACTCATATAATAAGAAATATGTGTCTAACATTGTGTGATATATATAAATTGTCCAATGATGGAAAAAGAAGGGCAAATTGTTCTAAATGCGCCTCAAAGACAGGCGGAAAAGAAGGTGAAATTTGTAACTTTATAGTGAAATATCTCAATAAATAATGGTTTGTTCACATTTTCATTATCAAATTCGTGTTTTTCAGACAAAAATACGTAAGTACCAAAAAAAATTTTCGAAAAAAAACCCATCGCATGATAAGTGCAAAATTACCATTATTACTATTATTATTCATAATAATTGAAGAAGAAAAACTTCAAATACAAAAGTTTTGTGCCTAAAGTTTTCTTCTATCCCCGAAGATGAACCCTGTAGAAGCTGTTTAATTATATTAATGCTCCTGTACAGTATGATAAAAGTGATTATTGGGTACAAAAGATGAAACAAATAGGTATCCTTACCTTGAAAAAATATTTATTGCCTTCAGTACATAATATATAGAGCTCCCATTTACAAAATACTTGCGATCTTATATTTAATATGATGTATACATTTGGAAGTCATAAGCTAACCTACAAAGATAGGTCAAAAAATATAGACTATGAAACTATTCAACATTTTAGGGCCATTATAAATAGAAAATACCTATCTATACAGGAAGAAATGGAATTGAGGAAGAGTACTGAAAAAACCTAAGTACCTACCTAATTAGGCTCTTGAATTTGTAGATGAAAATTAAAAATAAAGCTAAAGCATATAGGTATCTATATCCATCTAAGACTAGAAAAATTAATGATGGACCTATTTTCAAAAATGGTCTTTTTTAGTTTTAGTCATTGTGATTGATAATATAGAAAACAATCGGAAACCATCAACATATGACAGGGTCGGTTGAATTATGGTAAAGTTGCGCAATTCAATGCTTAACAAAACGCCGTTTTAAATGAAAATTCCGAATACTTCCAGAGATTTTTGAGAAAAACCTACGAAGGCGCTGAAGTGCCACATGCATTTTTTTTTTAGTAATTTCGACTTTAATCTCGAAATTTCGACTTTAATCTCGAAATTTCGACTTTAATCTCGAAATTTCGACTTTAATCTCGAAATTTCGACTTTAATCTCGAAATTTCGACTTTAAACTCGAAATTTCGACTTTAATCTCGAAATTTCGACTTTAATCTCGAAATTTCGACTTTAAACTCGAAATTATGACTTCATGTACACTCGGGATGTTTACGTATTGTTACAGTCTCATCAGTTGAATGTTTGTCGTGTCTCTTGAAGTAAGAGACAGATATAACTGTCAACTAACCTAATTGACAGATACTAAGTGGTAAGTAGCATACTTGACAGATACTAAGTGGTAAGTAGCATACTTGGCAGATACTAAGTGATAAGTAGCATACTTGACAGATACTAAGTGGTAACTAGTAAACTTGACAGATACTAAGTGGTAAGTAGCATACTTGACAGATACTAAGTGATAAGCCTATCTGTCAATTATGCTAGTTGACACTTGAGTATCTGTCAAGTATGCTACTTATCACTTAGTATCTGTCAAGTATGCTACTTACCACTTAGTTGTCAAGTATACTAGTTAACACTTAGTATCTGTCAAGTATGCTACTTACCACTTAGTATCTGTCAATTAGGCTAGTTGACACTTAAGTATCTGTCAAGTATACTAGTTACCACTTAGTATCTGTCAATTAGGCTAGTTGACAGTTATATCTGTCAATTATAAAAAAAATATCATGTGGCGCTTCTACGCTTTCGTAGGTTATAAAGTATTATTGAGGAAGAAAATATCATTTCTGCAAGAAAAAGGAGACTACCATAAATGAACCTTCATCTGAGACTACTTTTATAACATAACTCGGCCTGAATGATTCATTTTCCGAAAAAGTATATTTTTCGAAAGATAATTTGAGAGAAAACAGAAAGTTATTACCTATATTATAATATAAGTAGACTCCTTTTAACCTAACTCGGCCTAAATAATTATTTTGAACTTAATTATTGTCAATAAGCATGGTGTACTATACCTACCTAGTCCATCATACCTCATCATCAAAGTATTGATATAAGTAAATACCAGTGACTTGTTGAAAAATTTTAATAAATTGAAAACGAATTAAGTTACCTATATTCTTTATTATTTCAGCCATACTTACCAAACTTTTTTAGTTGCTACCAGGGGCGGCGAGTTTTGTTTTGCCCAATGGGTGCCAAAATGGAGGGGTTAGGGCAAGACAAAAAAAAATGCGCCGCAGGCGAAAATTTTTTATGGCTCAAGGTCAAATGCCTTCAAATTTGAAGATAGCTTGATGCAATATTGATTCTGCATTACGTGTGAAACACCCCTACTAGAATATAATGTTTTTTGACTAATCGTGTTTCGGGTCTGTTGTTAATATCAACATAAACAAAGGTACATCTTCGTTTCGGCCAATGGGTGCATTGCACCCATACCTATGGTCTACATGGGTGCATTGGCCCCGATGCCCCCATGCACTCGCCGCCCCTGGTTGCTACCTATTATAAGTTGGTATCTACCAATAGTTACTCAAACTTATCAATTCAATTTGAATCAGAAATGAAGTAAGTATACCTAATAATTTTCCTTTTGTCCTGTACAGAATAAATATCCTACACCTTGCATCATTTTCAAAGTGTTTCACGTTCCTGTAGAGATAAGAAATTTTCTCCTGATGAGTAGTAATATTTTGAGCCTCGTAAATTACCAGCATTTATATCACCAATTACTTCCTATTTTCAAGAGGTAATATAGTGCACCTAGCCTAGATTGGAATAAATCAGGAAATTCGCCTATGACATTTAAAACTACGGGAAAACATTCCTATAGCTCCTGGTTTAGATTGACCTTGGCTACCGCGAAATAGACATTTGGTTACGTCACGTTGGGCCACACCCGAAATTTCGAGTTTGAAGTCGAAATTTCGAGTTTAAAGTCGAAATTTCGAGTTTAAAGTCGAAATTTCGAGATTAAAGTCGAAATTTCGAGATTAAAGTCGAAATTTCGAGATTGAAGTCGAAATTTCGAGTTTAAAGTCGAAATTTCGAGTTTAAAGTCGAAATTTCGAGTTTAAAGTCGAAATTTCGAGATTAAAGTCGAAATTTCGAGATTAAAGTCGAAATTTCGAGATTAAAGTCGAAATTTCGAGTTTAAAGTCGAAATTTCGAGATTAAAGTCGAAATTTCGAGATTAAAGTCGAAATTTCGACTTTAAAGTCGAAATTACTAAAAAAAAATGTGTGTGGCACTTCAGCGCCTTCGTAAAAACCTGTGAAAAAAACCAATAAATATTCGCGATTTTTTTTTTTGATTTTTTTATAACTTTATTTGAATGTAGATTTAACAAACCAAGTTACACATTCTCATTGCAAATTTTTCTATTCTGCAAGATGATGCAGCCATCTTGAGTCAATTCTGATATTCAGATCTCTTCATCTGAAGTTTTATCTTCAAAATGAGCCTAAGATTTCCAAAATCGGTTGACGTGGAAAAAAGTTATGGCTGCAAAACCAAAAAGTTGATTTTTTGAGATCACTCTGTAAATAAGAGAGATAGGAAGTTGATTCGCGAAATATCTCGAGGTAATGAGATCATCTTCATGCCTCTGTTGTCGAAGTTGAGAAACAATTTTTTCTCATCATATTTGAGAGCCTTTTGAATATTCCGAAATTTTGCACAGTGTCGGAAAACACCATGTAGAGATTTTATGTGCATACCCTTATGTTTCAATGAAGTACGAGATTATAGCTGAAAGACTGGGCTATCGAACAGTGTGAACGAAATTCAAATTGTTCTAAACTGAAAAAAGTTATTCACATTATAACAGGGGCGACATTTTGGTGTGCGACGAAATTAGTGTTGAGTAGTTTATTAGCTCCTATTGCAGAAGGAATTCCGATGAGAAGTCGAGGAATTACCAAATTTCAAAAATGAAAACTATATGTGAGTGACTATATTAGGTACTTACTTTTGAATCATAATGTACCAACCGGATTTCTTCGTCTTCCGCTGCAATTTTCTTGCCCTGTATAACAGCACAATGTGATGGCATGAGTGAATTAATGAATAGCCGAAAAATGCGATTCCTATGCCAAAATAATTGTGAAAAACTATTTCAATCACTTGTGAACAAATTTAAAAAAGTGAGGTTGTGTTTCAATGTTGTGCCTCCAGGGTCGGTCATCTGACAGTTCTTGCACGCAACCAACCCATAAGAAAAGTGAGGTTGTGTTTCAATGTTTCACCTCCAAGGTCGGTCATCTGACAGTTCTTGCACGCAACCAACCCATAAGAAAAGTGAGGTTATGTGTTTCAATGTTTTACCTCCAAGGTCGGTCATCTGACAGTTCTTGCACGCAACCAACCCATAAGAAAAGTGAGGTTATGTGTTTCAATGTTTTACCTCCAAGGTCGGTCATCTGACAGTTCTTGCACGCAACCAACCCATAAGAAAAGTGAGGTTGTGTTTCAATGTTGTGCCTCCAGGGTCGGTCATCTGACAGTTCTTGCACGCAACCCATAAAAAATCCAGGGCCCCATTTAAAAAAACAAGGTAGATGATGGCAGCTCAAAGATAAAAGGTCGGTTTGAAAATCTAATAACACCATCTTGTAAAACAGAAAAAGTAGCAATAAGAATGTGTAATTTGTTTTGTTACATCTATTCAAAGAGTCAAATTTAAAAAGAGCTACAAATGTTCCTGATTCTGCTAACCCCTAACTTTTTACTGAAGATTTTTTTATAAAGTGTGGTCGACCGACTTTGTGTTGCTTGTTTTTCTTTTGAAATTACTTTGGACCACATTGAGATATGGATGATTTTCATGACTTGCAGATAAATTAACTCCGCGCCGCCTATACGAACCTGCCGAAATTTGGCTTCAACATTTTACATGAAGGTGAATCATCTTCTGTCGAAAATCGAGGATTTTAGGTTAGAAACAGAAAAAAGCGCAACAAACTAATATTCTACGACCCGAATTGCTCGTCACAGTTATCGATGGCCTTGAAACTGTATCCCCCTCTACCGTCCAAATGCAGAACGTATTCGTGATGTTGCCACAGCGATTTCCTGTGCGAGACGGTGAGCAAAGTGATGCCGGCTTCTCTGCAATATTCGTACATACTGCCTTCCACGTCCACAGAGACGGCGCTAGTGCACTCGTCCAAGATGGCGAACTGAGGCTGGTGGTAGAAGAGGCGAGCCATGGCGACGCGCTGTTTTTCGCCGCCGCTAAGCACGTCTAGCCAGTCGGCCACGGCGTCTAAGGACAGAGAATAGTAGATTGTTTTATTAGGATCAAAAGTGACAGTGACAGTCAAATAAAGTCACTTTTGATCCGAATGAAACATGCTATTTTTTCCTGCAACCGAAACAATCAACAAATGAATATGTGAAGTTACCACCAATGCCGTGCCATATGTATGCAATACAACAAATAATACGTGTGGTGAGCATATTCTACCTGCATTAACAGCAGGTTTATTCAATTTCCAAGGATGTTCGAATTGTAGTTTCAATATAAATACAATCACAGAGTGACATATTTGTGTATGGACCAGGTGCTCTAATGGCAAATACCGCGTCAGTGCCAGTTATAGAAACAAGACTTGGAAAATGTTAGGTTAGTGAGCACATCAACAATAAGAAGAGCAATTATATTTTCCTCTCCGTGATACAATGTTTGTCGCTTGATAATCAAATGAAAGTTAACAATATCATTGTTTGAGACAAAAAACTATTGCTTGCCGTGATTATCCAAAAACAAGTTATCCATCACGAGAATAACGAATGAAATACAGATCAAGCAAGTATTTGAATCTTGAAGGCTTCCCTGATCAAAACAAAAATAATCAACTGAGATGTTGATAATTCCAATATTAAACTATAATAAGGTGTGTTTATATCTCCAGCATGGGTATGAAATGCCAAATCTGCTGAAATCGGAAACAAATCAGGTATGCGTCTCAACCCAAATAACCAACCGTCATAATGTTGTTTATTCACAATTTTAGAACAATTCTTGATGACGTCCAGTAGATCCTTTTTAGTTCCTAGGAGCTAAAGTTCAACTTTAGCTCCTAGGAACTAAAATTCAACTTTAGCTCCTAGGAACTAAATATGTTGCCTAGCAACATACCTATTTTTGTGTCAGTAATAGAAACGTCAATTTAAGAGCTAATTTTGGTATCAAAATGGACGACTTTTGTGTCGGTTGCAGAAAATAGTAGATTGTTTTATCAGGATCAAAAGTGACAGTTTGTTTGACAAGCGAATTTTTCATTTGCGAGGCGGATCGTTCAGCGAAAGCAGAATTTGCGAGTCAAATCAAAGTCTGAAATTTCTACCAAATGTCGGGTATAAAATAAATCTCCAACAGGCAGGCCCAGCCCAGCGGCCCAAAAATGAGCCAGGCCATCAGGCGATCGCCGACGGACCAGTCCGGCCCTGCATACAGTGTGTCCCACTTACCATGCTCACCATGGGTATCTTTTTAACGGTGAGAGATACGAGGTCGGTTAAATGACACCAAATGTGGAGTTTGTCAAGGCCAACTATAATGTGAAAAAATATTTTGATAAAACCTATTCGTTTTTGTTTTATACGCAAAAAACAGATTTTTATTATTTTCATGTCTCCTCTGTAACTTCTTTATTTATGAAAATATTCAAATAGAAATGTCACATTCTCATGGCAGTTTTTCGAAGTGATTTCGAAAAAATATGAAATTTATACCAACTTTAGTTTTCGAAATGTAGGTCATAGCTCACTATGACTTAGTTACAAATAACTTTTTCTTCTCTTACAGATGATATGTCGCTGTAATAGTTTTGTGTTGATAACAACGGAGTTATCGTCATTGATACAAAAACAAAAAATTATTCGGATGCCGCCATCTTGAATTTATGAATTTTAACGAAAAACTCATGATCTCCGACCTCAAGAACCCCCACTTACCAATTTTGAATGGAATCGGACCGAATCTTGTCCGCCATCTTGGAGCAGCCATTTTTTTAAATTTTAACAAAAATTCCATAATGTATTGTCACCGAAATTATGAACACCTGCCAGATTTCAAGTTAATCGGAGTTATGGAATTTTTGTTGATATTAAAAAAAATGGCTGCTTCAAGATGGCGGACAAGATTAGGTCCGATTCCATTCGAAATTGGTAAGTGGAGAATTGAGGTTGGAGATCATTATTTTTTTGTTAAAATTCATAAATTCAAGATGACGGCTTCCGAATAATTTTTTGTTTTTGTATCAATGACGATAACTCCGTTGTTATCAACACAAAACTATTACTGCGACATATCATCTGTAAGAGAAGAAAAAGTTATTTGTAACTAAGTCATAGTGAGCTATGACCTACATTTGGAAAACTAAAGTTGGTGCTGATATCTCAAATTCTAGAAGAGTTGGTATAAATTTCATATTTTTTTAGAAATCACTTCGAAAAACTGCCATGAGAATGTGAAATTCCTATTTGAATATTTTCATGAATAAAGAAGTTACAGAGGAGACATGAAAATGATCAAAATCTGTTTTTTGCGTATAAAACAAAAACGAATAGATTTTATCAAAATATTTTTTCACATGATAGTTGGCCTTGACAAACTCCACATTTGGTGTCATTTAACCGACCTCGTATCTCTCACCGTTAAAAAGATACCCATGGTGAGCATGGTAAGTGGGACACACTGTATACGTGAAAATAAGTAAGATAAGGTAGTTAAAAACGAGAAATGCGCATGCGTAGCTGTCAATTTTAACGTTCACGGCAGCACTTCAACTCTCTATTAACCAATCCAAAAAGTTACCTACCTAAGCCACCCTCTCGCTCAAGGATGTACCCCAACTGCACCCTGTGCAAGTATCCCTCCAGCTTGTCATCGCTGACGCCTCTCCTTTTAGCCTCCGCCCCTGAATGCGGGTACGTCAGCTGGTCCCTGAGGCAGCCCAAGGTCATGTAGGGGCGCTGCGGGATGTAGAACAGCTTGCCTCGCGGCGGTTTCGTCAGTTCACCCCCAAATAGGGGCCACAATTCACCCAGGATGCGGAACAATGAAGACTGGAATGCGATCGTGAAATAAATTGATTTTTATTAATTTGGCGCAGTCGGTAAGAGTGATTCAAGCAAGGAAGTCTATCATTTTCTAAAGTGAAATGGTGTATGTGAATGAAAAAAAGATCCCAAAGTCCAATATGTCCCCGAATAGGGGCCACAGTTCGCCCAGGATACGAAATAACGAAGACTGGAATGCGATCGAGCAATAAATAGGTCTTTTTGATATTGCGCAGTCGGTAGCAGTGATTCAAGTAAGCAGGTCCATCATTTAGCAAGGTGAAGTGATGTATTTGAATGGTGAATGGAAGTCCGGAGTCTTGAAGAAAAACTTCAAATTTGTGGGGATTACTTTGGACTGCCTCTCTTTCTTTTCACGAATTCAAGCAATCTCCGTGGTTGAAGACTTTTGATCAAAATATCAATTAGTAAGTCCATCATTCTTCAAAGTTGAATGATGTATTTGATTGGGGAAAGAAAATCCGAAGTCTTATGAACTTGAAAGTTTGTGGAGATCACTTCCGGCTCTTCCTTTCATCAAACTTAAGAAGTCACCGTGATTAAAAACCTTCTCATCAGAATATCAATAACTAGTCAACTTAAGCGAAAGAGATTCTCAGCAATATGATTCTAAGAGGCAGTAAATCTAGATCGAAATGTGAATAGATACGTCAGCTGGTCCCTGAGACAGCCCAAAGTCATGTAGGGGCGCTGCGGGATGTAGAACAGGTTGCCTCGCGGCGGTTTCGTCAGTTCACCCCCGAATAGGGGCCACAATTCGCCCAGGATACGGAAAAGCGAAGACTGAAATGCGATCGTGAAATAAATTGATTTTTATTAATTTGGCGCAGTCGGTAAGAGTGATTCAAGTAAGAAAATCTATTTTCCAAAGTGAAATTGTGTATTTAAATGAAGCAGAAAAACCCAGTCTTGTAATATGAATTTCGTGGAGATGACATTGCGTGCTCTTCATTGCCTTGAGTTCAAGCAATCACCTTGGCTAACAACTGATCAAAATGTAAATAACCTGTCAACTTTGGCGAAATGTCAATAGATACGTCAGCTGGTTCCTGAGGCAGCCCAGGGATCGTGAAATAAATTGATTTTTATTTATTTGGCGCAGTCGGTAAGAGTGATTCAAGCAAGTAAGTCTAACATTTTCTAGAGTGAAATGGTGTATTTGAATGAAAAAAGAGATCCCAAAGTACAATATGTCCCCGAATAGGATACCCTTTTCAAAGTGAATTTGGAAAAGAAGCCCGAAGTCAAAATTGTCGAAACTAATTATGGGTAAGATGATTTAGAAAGAGTTGAGGTTAGTTAGGCAGGTCAATTAGTAACCTTATCAGAGCCAGTTTTTTCTGGCTCTTCAGTAAATTTAGAAAGTAGAGTAATGCTACAAATTCTTCCAACCCGTTGACGAAATCGTTTGTGCTCACCATGATTATTGTTTTCATAGTTTGAGTCCCATATTGTTTAGTATGTTTATAAAAATTGTTTTGTCCTCATCATTTATTTAAGGAACCATTGTCTGATGATGGTCGTAGTGCCGAAACCGGTAACTTTTTAAGGAAGTTTTTTATATAAAGTGTGGTCGACCGACTTTGTGACCGACATGATTTTCACGATATACAAAAAAAAACTGCTAATAAAAATTAATAATAACCTTTCCAGCCCCATTAGGACCGCAAACCAGCACATTCATGCCGGAATTGATTTCGAAAGACACTTCAGGCACCAGAACATCCCCGTTGGGTGTCACTAGAGGCACCCTGTCGAACTTGATGACGTTGTTGCGGAATACCAGCTTGCCGGCATTCGGTTCCAAGTTTTGGGAACCTGTCACCATGGTACGTTGGTATTTACCGTCGTTCAATTCAGATAACACTGTACGCAGTTCTGTCACCCTAAAAGAAATCAACAATGGGAATAATAAAAAAAATAGGTCCAATTTATATGTGGTTGGATTAGATAGAAACATGGGATACATCATTTAATGTTGGTCTTTTGGCTTCCATTCCCTCGAATAATAGTGTCACGATACTTATTGGCTTCCTGATGGGATAAGACCACTGGATCATTTTTGAGGGTAGCTCAGAGATAGGGTAGATTATATTAACTAATTGACTAATAGTTAAGTGGTATGAGAAATAATAGTAAAAACCATATCCAAAACATAGTTACATCTATGGTAGGAATCATTATAGATACGACATACAATTTATAAAATGGTTAAATAGTACTTACAATATACAGGGTGGGCAACCAGTAACGCCTCGGTCTCTAGAAGGCTAACCACTTATCTTCTTGGAATTCTTCCTCTCTAGGAAGTTGCATGTCAACATAGGCTACCATTTGAAATTATTTCAAAACATACAGGGTGTCCCCAAAAACCGCAAAATACTAAAGTTGAACTTTTTTCAATCGAACACCCTATATATTATTTCATTTTGAGATTCTCCCTGGTGAGCTGATTTCAACAATCCATCATACTTGGGGTCTAGCAGTTATAATTACTGAGATATAGGGTGTGAGAAATCGAGATTTTCCAAGTTTAAGAATTTTTTGTGTCTAAACCATTCATAATTGGTCAAAACGGCTCACATGTCCCTATCTTAACTTTTGATCAACTATCTACTGAGATTTAATTGAAACAAATACAGGGTGGTGCAGAATTCAGAATCTTGATCACCCGGTATATGTCCCAATTTAATATCAGTAGATAGTAAATCAAAAGTTGAGATAGGGACATGTAAGCCGTTTCAACCAATTATGAATAGTTTCGACACAAAAAATTCTTGAACTTGGAAAATCTCCATTTTTCACACCCTATATATCAGTAATTATAACTGCTAGACCCCAAGTATGATGGGTCGTTGAAATCAGCTCATCAGGGAGAATCTCAAAATGAAATAATATATAGGGTGTTCGATAGAAAAAAGTTTAACTTCAGTGTTTTATGGTTTTTGGGGACACCCTGTATGTTTCGAAATAATTTTAAATGGTAGCCTATGTTGACATGCAACTTCCTAGAGAGGAAGAATTCCAAGAAGATAAGTGGTTAGCCTTCTAGAGACCGAGGTGTTACTGGTGGCCCACCCTGTAGATAGAGCCATTTTCGGAGAGGGTCGTCGGGTGGAACAAAGACCTAACTAAACTGATTAACGTGATAACCGACTGTTCAAATCGACAGTTTGCACCACCGACAGCAACTATTCAAATACCGATCATCTGATCATCAAGTGCCTTCTGGAATATCCACAAATCTATACAGGGTGTAAATTTGAAAACTTTCAATGCGAATATCTCGCGGAATAAAAAAGTTAGAAAAACGCCGTTTGGCACAAATGCTGAAGAGTTAGGGGCGACTAGAACCACCATATTTCAGTGAAGGGATGGCGCTACACACCCCAACTTTGAAATGTCAAATAGCACTACCTCATTTGTGATACATCAAATGAACGGTCTCAGTCAGTAGTATCCACCTGTACAAGACTTTTTTTTGTCTCGCCTTTCGTACAAAATGTCTCACTTACGCGAATTATGAGTAAATAAAATAAAGTAGGTTAGGTTATTGTCTCAGATTTGAATCCAGAACAATCTTGTTTGTTGGTCACGTGTGGGTAAATTCGGCTTCTGTATTGGTAGAGCAAGTCCGATAAAATTTAATAAACAAAAAATAGAATACAGAAGATTGGTTCTCGAGATCAAGAGTGGAATAGTCAATGTAATTGTATTGGAAAACACCCGTTATAGACACTCTAGATCGACTAACCTGCTGGTGAACCCGGCCAATCGGGTCAAATCTCTGCCGGCCAATACCAGTCGACCGATCGCCTCAGCCAACTTGACCAACATCCTGCCGTAAGTGTAGTAGACCCTGGACCTTTCTGTCGTATTGAAGGACCTGAACGAGTGCCCTTCGGTAAGGAAGGGCAGCGAGACAGCCCAGAATCCGATGACGCCAGCGAAATACTACAATGATAATCAAAGTGATACCTATTCTTCCGTTTCGAACTGACCGAAATAGACCCACCAGCAAAAAAATGTCAAATTGATTGCCCTATAACTTTTTTGATTCTAGTCCGATGCTGGTGAGATGTCGACCAAATCGTAGATTTATGTTTCAGAATGTTAGCCTGGCTTTCAATACTCAGAAAAAGCATCATTATACAAAATGAACATAAGTTACGTATTACTTTTTTTTCCTGATTTTTTTTTATGTTCTGGTTCTCACGAAAAGGGATATCCTGTAATGTTCAGAGAACATCGTGAGAACCAAGGGAAATAAGGTAGGAATTGGTGTTCTTCTTGAATTTCTGGAGGTTATATGCCTTGGGGAACACCTCCTTTGGCATTGTGTTCCAGAGCCTCGCTGTTCGTTGGATAAACGAGTCTTTGGAAAGAGATGTTCTGCAGGTCTCCAAAGTGACCACGATGGGGTGCGAAGCCTCAACTCGACGGGTTAATCTCGCGGGGACTGCCAAGGAAGGAACAATTGTTGATATTTCAGAAGAGCATCGTCCATGGAAATATCCATAAAATAGAGCCAGATCGCCAACTTTTCTACGGTGTTCCAGAGAAGTGAGTTTGTGAGCGAGGCATTGGATATATATCCTCATTTCAAAAACAGATACGAGTGTTTTGAGAAAGTATGACGTTTTTTTATTGAACTCCTAGCACTCAGATGTCCACAAAACTGTCCCATCTGGGTGATAAGAAGAGTGAAGATGTACCCAAAATGCTCAATCTGCCGAGCAGCCGCTGCTTGTCTTCACCGCACTATGGTGAAGTTGGGCTTTAGGAGAGAAGGAAAAAAGAATTGACCAAGAGAGGCCGATACAAAAGATTGAAGACTACATAGTGAAGAGGATATTACGAAAGACAAGTTGAAGTCGTGAACCACTGAGGAATTCTATAGAAGGTCTGCTATTTCCTGTTTTTTTGCTAGTGAGTGCTGAGAAAACGGGGTAGAAATGAGCGATATTAACTTTGAGATGTTTTTTTGTGGTGATTATCGATAATTTCATGTAGGTTCTGAATTATTGATCATAACATTTTTAAAGAATTCATACTTTCCTGAAACACTAAACTTGTATTTTGTCTTTAAAATAATATATTGACGTCAATCAATAACCATTTTGTTGAGGAAGGATCACACTTCAATCTAAAACATACTGAAGCTAAGTTTATTCACTCACTTTTGCTACAGGGCATCAAGAAGATTTTTTTGCCGGTAAGTGTTGTATAATATTGTACATCTAGGCTAGAATACTAGATATAGGTACACAAATAGTTATTTATGTACCGAGGACGAAACACTGTCTATTATGGTCGAGGCTGAAAATTGATAGCCGAGGCTAACAATCAAGCGAGACAATAGACAGTTTTTCGTTGAGGTGTATATTACATTTTTTCGTCGACCTCAAACATTTATTTTCACACGTGAAATCTATCGGATTTCGTGAGTAATTAATTTGACAAAAGCAAATGACAGTTGTTGTTAACTTGTTAACTCACTATCCGCGCGGACCAGAGTTGCCAGTTTGATTTTTATTCCATCAGTAAATACCTTCTCAAAAATTCCGTAGATTTCAATAGACCGGTTTAAGATCTATTTTATGCTATAACGAATTCCAAGAAAAGATATTGAATTAAACCTACACAGCGTGTCTCACTTTAAACGGCCCCCCTCCCTCTATATCTCAGTTATTAGTCATGCGATTTCAACCAAATTTGGTGTGGTATGAATAACCATCAATATGATCAGTTTTACAGAGATGCACATTATTTTGGACAGTGCCGTGCGTTTTTATTGAACTAAAACGGGGTCGAATTTTCATAAAATCATATTACACAAAACATTCTCCTACAAAAATAATCATATTCATAATTCTCAATTCGAAAATACTCACCAAATTTATCACAAAATATAGCTACAAGTACTTATGAGATTTGAGTACCTATATGAAAAACAGGAACGAAAAATGAAAATCAACAAAAAAAATACGAAACAAATAAAAAAAATTGACGTAAGAAGCAATAAACCGATATGAGAGATATATAAAAAATTGAATTCGATCTGAATCAGTTAAACTATTGTCCTTTTTTGGTTTATACATATCATTAGTACATTTATTGCTTATTTTGTAAAATTAATTCAACAGCCAGCGTGCCGAAATATCATGCCATTTATGAGTGTTAGTGATCAACTGAAGATTAGTAATAATAAAGAAAATTATAATAATAAATGAGTGTCCAAATATTTTTCAGTAGATTATGGAATGTTTCATTGAATAATGGGTCACCTTGTATATGTATATTCCTGGATTTATCGACTGCTTTTACAAACCCTAGAAGATTATGGTATTCGTGGAAACTGCTTGAAACTGTTTCAGAACTATCTTTCAAATAGAACACAACGTGTAAAACTGAACAATGGAACTCTAAGTGAACAAATGGACGTAGAATTTGGGATTCCACAAGGTACAGTTCTCGGACCGATACCGTTCTCACTCTATATAAATGGATTATTCAGCTTGGATATTCAAGGACACGCGATAGGATTTGCTGATGATACTGCACTCATTAACTGGGAAAGTATTTGCGAACGAAAAGTTAGCACCTGCAGACGAAAACTACTTGGCTTCGGAAGTAGTCGGTTTTCGTTAGGAAATTAGAACGTTATATGTGATTTTTAGTATAGTGCGTTATGTTAGCACAGAATATTGCTATTCCGGCTACCAGCAAGAACTTCGGTACACATGTTAATGACTATATAGAAAACAAAAACCCATCGGGACACACGGTGTATCTGGAATATTTCAGCCGCCATTTTTCAAAATGGCGACCGGAAGCTGGATTTTTGCTAATATCTCCAGAACGGTGGGAAATATCGGGAAAGTTCGAAGTGATGAAATATAGAGGATAGTAAGGCGAACATTTCTTGTTCAAAACATTTTTTTGTCAAACGAATCAAAAATCCAATAATCGAAATATTAATATTCAATTTTTCAAGGTTTCTCAAGAAAAATCAAAATGGAAACATTCAGGCTGAGATTAGCCACAGAAATCATGATCTTGAGGATTCAAACCGAAGGTACCATTACGTAAAATGGCGGTCAATTATTTTAATCTAAATAAAATCATATATCAATAAAGTTATAGGCTTTATGTTTAATTAGGTTCGATTAGATCAGTAAGAATCTTGGTGAACTAACTAATACAACAGTATTACAAATAATGTTTATTGAGTACACTGTCCATCACACGTGCATAGAGTCATCGCAGGATCACTGACAGTGAGAAATAGCATCTGTTTTTTCCAACTCCATATTCAAAACCAAAGGTCTTGCATACCCATTTGCTTCAACTCGTGGAATTTAGCAGCAGCAATAACAATGACATCTGAATCCACTGTACTTATCGAAATGTTTTCATGGCCCCACAATATTGCACTTTTTACGTGAATGAGAAGTCTAGTATCTACTTCTTCACACTGCAAAAATTTACTGAAGACTTTCAAATTTTCGGAGACGAAAGTCTATAGCAGATAGAAATACTTTGGTACAATATTCAGAGAATGTCTTCGATGTTTTTGTATCCAAAGAATGAACCAGTGCACCACCATCGATAACTACAGCGGAACAACATGAAACTTCGTTTTGAGGTGTATCTTCTCCTACACTTTGACTTGCCGCTGATAAACAGGCTAAAGAAGATCTTCTATATTTCTAGATGAACACGTGTGTCAGGAGGATTTTTATGAATATGGCTACTTGGTAACGGGGTAGTTGTTGGTATTTTAAATGAATTTTTGAGAAAACGAGGATTTCCCACTGAATATATTCAATTTATTGGCCTTAATATCAGCCTCACAAGAAAATGTTTCAGACAAAAAATGTCCGCCGTGTAATGTTCTTTATTTCATGAATTTGAACTCTTTCAAAATTTTGCACCGTTCTTGAGATATCAGCAAAAATCTAGTTTTCGGCCGCCATTTTAGAAAGAAATATTCCAGACACAGCTTGTGTCTCGATGGTTTTTTGTTTCCTATATATTTCTCATCATGTATGCCAAATTTCATGCTGGTAGCCAGAAAAGCATTATTCTTATTCTTTTCTGAACCAACCCAACGCACTAGTAGAGGTCAACGAAAAAAATATTCAATTTCAATCTACTTAAAAATGTCAAAAATGCCTTTAGCTGGTGAAGTTATCAAATATGTAATGAAGTACTCTAACAGTCACATTCTTCATTATCCTTTTTTCACGAGAATTATTTTTCAATGACCCAACCACAACCACCAAATACAAAATAATCTTCACCTTGGCCACAATGTTGTCAACTATACCCATAAGCACCCTGAACCTGAGGAACTTCCTCAGATGGTTGAGCAGCTTGTTGTAGCTCGCCATCAAGGTGGTTTTCTCCCGCAAGTTGCCATTGTAGAAAGCAACTTCTTCCGAGTGCGTGATCAACCTCGAATTTATGTGCCGGAACTCCCCTTCCAGTTTTTGTTCTCCCACGGTCAAGATGGCCGTGGGTTTGCGCAGGTTCGTCAGAACCATGCCAGAGACGAAGAGATAGCCCAACATGAGCCCTGGAGTGCTACCTGAATGAGATACCCGCGGATCAGAACGGATCAGATTGGAAATTGCACTAATCATAAAGTTGAGCTAGATCTCATAACAAAAAGATGTAGGATGAACAGAGTTGCCCTAATTGCCAGCGGGAGCGAGACAGTACTGTTTCGGACCATCAGGCCTCATCAGACGTTCTCGGTCTGCTGACAACTGGATTCACTATCTACTGGAATTTAATTGGAAAGGATACAGGGTGCTTCAAGATTCAGAATTCTGATCACCCTGTATCTGTTCCAATTAAATGTCAGTAGATAGTGAATCGAAAGTTAACATGTAAGCCGTTTTGATCGATAATGAATAGTTTCGACACAAAAAAATCTTAAAATTGAAAAATCTCGATTTTGAACACCCTATATCTCTGTAATCATTCCTGAAAGACCCCAAGTGTCACCAGCCCTTCATTAAGAATCTAAAAATGCAATAAAATACAGGGTGTTCCATTTGAAATAACAAAGTTTGGGTCCACTTCCGGTACAACCGGAAGTGCCACAATCTTCAAAATATTTTAGCCGGATAGCACTTATCAACAATAGTGAACTACCATATTTTCAAATTCGGACCACCTATGGTTATCTATATATTGATCGATGCAGTTCCCGGAGGGACACCCTGTATATAGCACATATGTTTGATACTATTGTGCATATTACTATATTATTCTAAATATTTATAATTCTTTTGGTATCTCATTAATTTAGGTCTAAGAACCCCTCAGTAACCTTCATTTCATTGAGATCAATACAGTGTGTCCCACTTACCATGCTCACCATGAGTATCTTTTTAATGGTGAGAGATACGAGGTCGGTTAAATGACACCAAATGTGGAGTTTGTCAAGGCCAACTATAATGTGATAAAATATTTTGATAAAATCTATTCGTTCTTGTTTTATAGGCAAAAAACAGATTTTGATCATTTTCATGTCTCCTCTGTTACTTCTTTATTTATGAAAATATTCAAATAGGAATTTCACATTCTCATGGCAGTTTTTCAAAGTGATTTCGAAAAAAATAAAAACTTTATACCAACTTTTCTTTCTTTTTGAGATATCAGCACTAACTTTAGTTTTTCAAATGTGGGTCATAGTTCACTATGACTTAGTTGCAAATAACTTTTTTTTCTCTTACAGTTGATATGTCGCAGTAATAGTTTTGTGTTGATAACAACGGAGTTATCGTCATTTATACAAAAACAAAAAATCATTTGGAAGCCGCCATCTTGAATTTATGAATTTTAACAAAAAAATCATGATCTCCGACCTCAAAAACCCCCACTCACCAATTTTGAATGAAATCGGACCAAATCTAGTCCGCCATCTCGGAGCAGCCATTTTTTTCAATTATAACAAAAATTCCATAACTCCGATTAACTAGAAATTTGGCAGGAGTTCATAATTTCGATGAAAATGCATTATAGAATTCTTGTTGAAATAAAAAAAAAATGGCTGCCCCAAGATGGCGGACTAGATTTGGTCCGATTCCATTCAAAATTGGTGAGTGGGGGTTTTTGAGGTCGGAGATCATGATTTTTTTGTTAAAATCCATAAATTCAAGATGTCGGCTTCCAAATAATTTTTAGTTTTTTTATAAATGACGATAACTCCGTTGTTATCCACACAAAACTATTACTGCGACATATCATCTGAAAGAGAAAAAAAAGTTATTTCTTACTAAGTCATAGTGAGCTATGACCTACATTTGAAAAACTAAAGTTGGTGCTGATATCTCAAATTCTAGAAGAGTTGGTATAAATTTCATATTATTTTCGAAATCACTTTGAAAAACTGCCATGGGAATGTGAAATTCCTATTTGAATATTTTCATAAATGAAGAAGTTACGGAGGAGACATGAAAATGATCAAAATCTGTTTTTTGTGTATAAAACAAAAACGGATAGATTTTATCAAAATATTTTTTCACATTATAGTTGGCCTTGACAAACTCCACATTTGGTGTCATTTAACCGACCTCGTATGTCTCACCGTTAAATAGATACCCATGGTGAGCATGGTAATAAGTGGGACACACTGTATAGCGATAGTTCTTATATGAAATCTGATATCTGCTGAAAACGCAGAAGTTTATTAAATTTTCGCCAGAGCCAAATGGACTCAATAATTTGGTAATCTCCTGTTCATTTTTCAATACAGAATATAACGTAGACCCGAAAGCATCAGTCATTTTTAATAGCCCTTATACCATAAATTACCTCCCATCGTAGATGCCAGCTTATAAACGTATATACTGATGTCTAGCAACGGTTTGGCAGTGTTGCAATACAGATCGGTGATGCCTTCGCAGAATTTGTCAATGTCAGTTGTCAATAGTTGGTCAACGTTGGCGATTCGATTGTCCAAATTGGATATACGGTAGTAGGTGTAGTTTTTTAGGTATTCCTCGTATATCCTGCAAGAAATGGATATGAAATCCATTCATTCTTTGGAAAAATAATATGGGTAACTTTGATGTAAAATGCATTATAATTAACATCTGCTTGTGAGGTTAGATATATTATCTGTGATGTTTGTCACAGCAATGATGGAAGTAAGATATGGTGCGCGCATTCGGCCATTATTACGTATTGAAGATTTCAGAAAAATCACTCGACCGCCTACTATGATTTCTTTACGTCACAACGATCGAGACGTTAATTCTACATTTTCCCGCTAGATGATGATGCTTCTATTGCTGCTGAGACGAGAGGAAATGAAATGGCAAATGGCATTTTAGGTACGCGGAACATATGTAACATGTATGTAACAGTGGGATTATTCAACTCTCAATTCGAAGAATCTGCGATAATTTCAAAACTGACAGATGTTATAATTGTGCAATGTCGCCATCTATTAGAAGATCGACGAAACCATTGCTCTCGCTGTTCTCGAGAGGTCGAGTAAAATTTCTGAAACAAAAACGCATCAGTAATTACACCATATCTTACTTCCATCATTGTCACAGCATACGACTAACCTTAATATATATAAAGTGGATGAACAGTTGTTACTTGTCAAACATTTCAATAGTAATATTATTGTACAAAGGAAAATATACTATTTTTCCGTGTATAATACACTATTTTTTTCTGTGACAGGAAAACCGACAATTCAATATTGAGAAGATATTACATTATGTTATTGAAATCAGAAGATTGTTGATGTGAATGTATTCAACAGGTAGGCTGTGACATTTACACCTGCGTTGCTATGGAGACCTTTTAAAGTAATCAAATATCTGTCAATTTAATTCTGTGAATTCATCAAAAAAATTGCCAACTTATTTACTGTTTACTAATTCATATAACCGCGAAGTGGAATGGAAGATAAAAAGGGCTTGATTTACTGTCTACATACATTCGATTGGAACAGATATACAGGGTGATCAACATTCTGAATCTTGAACCACCCTGTATTTGTTCCAATTGAATGTCAGTATAGGTAGTAGGACATGTGAGCCGTTTCCATCTAGATTGAATAATTCTGACACAAAATCTCAAAGTTGAAACATCTCGATTTCGAGATTTATGAAAAGTGTCATTTTGTAACCTGTAAACAAATATATAAGAAGAAAATTTTTTCCGGTCACAGAAAAAATATAATTACTGCCCCTAGAGTGTATTTGAATTAATTTCCATAATACCCTTGTCATTCGGACGCCATGAATGATTTGACAAAAAAAAATGGAAATTGAAAGATGAACTTGGTTTAGGTAATTAACATTTTTAAAAGCCTACTGATATCCAATAATGAATCATTAAATTATGCTTAATATTCGATTTTGAAAGGGTCCATTAGGTATGCAGATATTGGTAGCTTTTGAATAAATATGAATATTTGAAATTATCTACAAGAATACCAGGGTTTCCTGTCATTATAGAGGGTGACATCAAATATAAATGTATAATTAAAATAAAAAATTACACACATTTGGTGCAATTCAATTATTTTAATTGTCCTGAAGTAGCATGATCCATCAATTATCCTTTTTGTCAATTATCAAGTAGAAATTTCCGGTAAATTAATAGTAGATTGTTTTATAAGGATCAAAAGTGACACTTTGTTTGACAAGCGAATTTTGCATTTGCGAGGCGGAGCGTTTAGCGAAGCCGAGCGAAAGCAAAATTTGCGAGTCGAACAAAATCACTTTTGATCCGAATGAAACATGCTTTTTTTTCTGCAACCGAAACAATTAACTCAAATAAACATGTGAAGTAACCACCAATGCCGTGCCATATGTATGCAATGCAACAAATAGTGACAAATAATCCATGTGTTAAGAATATTCTACCTGCATTAACAGCAGGTTAGGTTTTCAAGGATGTTCGAATTGTAGTTTCAATATAAATACAACCACATAGTGACATATTTTTGTATGGACCAGGTGCCCCAATGGCAAATACCGCGCCAGTGCCAGCTATAGAAACAAGACGTGGAAAATGTTAGGTTAGTGAGCATATCAACAATGATAATAGTGATTATTCATTCCTCTCCATACTACACTGTGTTTGACTCGTTGATCAAATGAAGCTAATTAATATCGTTGTTTGAGACAAAAAACTATTGATTGCCGTGATTATTCAAAAACAAGTTATCCATCCCGAGAATAACGAATGAAATACAGATCAAGCAAGTATTTGAATCTTGAAGGCTTCCCTGATCAAACAAAAATACTTAGCTGAGATGTTTAAAGTTCCAAAACTAAACAATAATAAGGTGTATTTTTTATATCCTCAGCATGGGTATGAAATGCCAAATCTGCTGAAATCGTAAACAAATCAGGTATGCGTCTCAACCCAAATAACCAACTGTCACAATGTTGTTTATTCTTGATGACGTCCAGTACATCTTTTTCAGTTCCTAGCAGCTAAAGTTCCAACTTTAGCTCCTAGGAAGTAAAATTGCCTAGCAACATACCTATTTTTGTGTCAGTAATAGAAACGTCAATTTAAGAGCTAATTTTGGTATCAAAATGGACGACTTTTGTGTAGGTTGCAGAAAAAACAAATTACTTATAAGACTCTGTTCCATATTGCTGATGTGTTCAATATGTGTCCAAATTTCAAAATCATACCCCTAATTGCAGCACTTTATTTTTCTAAAGAGGTGAATTTTTGAAATGTTGACAGATGTTGAATTTGACAGCTGACATTATGTACCTGCGCGTCATGTTGGTGCGCAGCTGGATTTTTAACGCACCAATGGAATATTTTAAGACATTATTGACAACTGACACAACAGGTATTGCCATAAAGTAGTTAAGCAGACGCTTAAGGAAGAGTTTCTTGTCCATGGCAATGATAGCACTGAAAACAACAAAGATAAATTATTATTACCTATTATTATACAGGGTGGCCCACGGTCGATGGAAAACGGTACATTGGATTATCCTGAAAATTTGGTTACTCTAATAAGCGTTTGTGATCTAACGATTCAAAATATTCAGCGAAGCAGCGTTGCCACTTTTACCAAAAAGTAGCATCATCTTTGTTATTTCAAATGGAACACCCTGTATTTTATTGCGTTTTTAGATTCTTATCGAAGAGCTGATTTCATCAATGTATCACACTTGGGGTCTAGCAGGAATTATTACAGAGATATAGGGTGTTCAAAATCGAGATTTTTCAACTTTAGAATTTTTTTGTGTCGAAACTATTCATCATTGGTCAAAACGGCTTACATGTCCCTATATTAACTTTTGATTAACTATCTACCGATATTTAATTGAAAAAAATACAGGATGGTCCAAGATTCAGAATTTTGATCACCCTGTATCTGTTCCAATTAAATGTCAGTAGATAGTGAATCAAAAGTTGAGATAGGGACATCTAAGCCGTTTTGATCGATAATGAATAGTTTCGACACAAAAAATTCCTGAAATTGAAAAATCCCGATTTTGAACACCCTATATCTCTGTAATAATCCCTGCTAGACCCCAAGTGTGATACATTGATGAAATAAGCTCTTCGAGAAGAATCCAAAAACGCAATGAAATACAGGGTGTTCCATTTGAAATAACAAAGATCATGCTACTTTTTGGTGAAAGTGGCAACGCTGCATCGCTGAAAATATTTTGAATCACAAACGCTTATGAAAGTAACCAAATTTTCAGGATAATCCAATGTACCGTTTTCCGTATACGTCTAAGGTACCATCGACCGTGGGCCACCCTGTATTCTATGTGTAGAAATTGGTAGTAATTTACTGAGTCAATATTTCAAATTTGCATAAAAAGAATGTAGGTATGCCAAATGTTGATAATATATCAGAAAATCAATAGCTATCATGTATACAACACTTTGTAAAATTAAATACAACATGATGGAAAGCAATTAAATATAAATGAGTAATCAATAGTGATCTTTAACCTGGTGGAATAATGATCTAAACATACTAGAAGAATAATTATAGATGTATGTCCAATTTATTTTATTGGAAACTTTCTAGAGGTAATTATCATCATGCAATCAAATAATATTTGATGAAATATTTTGAAATACCAACAAGTAGTAATATAAAGAATTGATAAGGAATATTTCAATAGGAAGTGTATAATAAATTGTTGGATGTGGTTTTGAAATATGTTGATTCAATTCAAATTTAAAAATGCATACAATTTGACCTGTTCTTGACATTGATTCAAACCACAGAAAATGGCTATTGTTAATACCTTGTTTCCAACTCAAGGAAATACATTGAACTTTATTTAAAAAGTATTCAAATCATAAATCATGCCATCTTAAGTGGCGATTTACCTTTCAATTTTGGTACCATTATCAATTAACCATAAATCACAAATAGATCTTGATATTAAACTAAGAGCAATTAATATAAATAATCCACTTTCCCCACTGGTCCAACCAGGAACAGCAATTTTTATTAATTCTACCAATTGTACTAAAAACTTCCTATCTACATGGGCTTTTGTTTTTGTTTGGCCTTTTTCTGATATGAGATATTTCACTTCCTCTTCCACTGTTTTTTTCTTTAGTTTCCTTCTGCAACAAAACATCACAATATAATAAATATCAAGTTTTTTCAATTAGGTACTTAGAAAATTGGTACCTACATCAAAACTGTTAAAGCCTAGGTTAAAGCTATGAATAAAGCTGGGAAAAAAACCCAAAAACATCTCCATAACTATTCAATAGAACCTTTATTGGTTAAAGTAGCAAAAGGAAAATGTTTCGGACCCGAATAGGGTCCATCATCAGCATGTACGAAATTATAGGTCATATAACAGTTCTTTCAAAACGAGCAAAATGCCCTGGAGATGATTTTAGGCTTCCATTACACCTTCAATAATTATACCACTCCACCAGTGCTTTCTATTAACGTTTATTATATCTATGCTGACCTGTCTATTTTTCCATTTTTGTTATTTTTCTTCAGTATAAACCATACTGCCACTAATGCACCAGCACCAGCAAGGGCATTATTTCTGTTCAATATTTTACTGTAGTTGGGTGCCATCATTCAACATTTTCTTTTACCTAAGCGAGAAATCAAATAATAATTTATTACGAGAGAAATATTTTATGTTCACAAAATAACCTACACTCGAGCTAAGAAAATAATGAACTGAAAAATGAGACAACAGTCAACAGTGACAATACTGACTATTACTGACAACAGTGACTGCACTGACAACAGTGACAGCACTGACAACAGTGACAGTGATAACACTGACAACAGTGAACTGAGTGAACAGACAACAACGCACTACACACAACGCAGCGAACACAAACCACACAACTGAGGACTGAGCAGTGAGCACTGAGCTACTGAGCAACAGAGAAAAAAATTCAGAATATCATTTTCATTTCTACGTGCGTTGACAGATGACAGTGTTGACACTGTTGACAGTAAAATCTCTCGCCGTCGGGCCGTCGCTAACCTAGCTCGCCGTTTGTTATTGTTTGTTGACAGTGAACGTGAGAAATTTCTATTTCTAATCAAATTGTGAAAAAAGAAACAAAAATGAAAGTTGAGGAAGTCAAAAGTACTGTGAAAACACAGAGAATCAGTGCTCACAGCCATATCAAAGGTTTGGGTCTAGATGATGCTGGTTTTGCCATTCAATCAGCGGCAGGATTGGTAGGACAAGAACAAGCAAGAGAGGTTAGAATTATGTTTCCTTCGTTATTATATCGTGGTTATTATCGAGGATATTCTTCTAATTACATGGTTAAAAAGTCTTGATGCATATCTAGATGACTGCTTTCAAATATAGCAATATCAACTGTAGTTTTGAGAAAGGCATGCTTTATGCAGCATCACTCAAATTGGATTCAATCAGTATTGAGTATGATGAATTCCAAAGTTTCAAACCAGCTTCTAAATCTAAAGTACCTTCTCTAGGAAAAGTTTCAGGTGTCGAAGAACAGAAAACATTGATAAATAGCTTGTAGTATGAACAGGAACACTAAGTACTGTATTGTTGGTTGCATACTCGCATGGCGGTGTGGTTACATTGTGGTTGACCATGACGTTTGAAATCTATTGGAGTTGATGAACCTTAGATCAATGATCTTAGATCATCACAGAACACTCCCAAGTAGGCTGACGTAACTCGTGACGTCACTACGCCATCATGAAAAAATAAGCTTCATCCCTTAGATCATCAAAGTCCATTGTATTCTTGATTGAGTAGGGTAGTTTTAAAATCAGATCAAGTCAACAAGAATAATTGATGGCAAGGATATTTAACTATCCTCATTGGCAAAACTGCAACGGCAGCCGTGTTGGAAGGCTCCTTACCTTCTATAAGACGACAAGACAGGTGGTATTTACCATCATGTAACTCCTCATGCCCAATCGAATATTTCAAAATAATCGTTCAATCAAAGTCATTATTATTATTATTAATTATTGTGAGATCTAGACGGAGAAACAAAAAATAAAATCACACATCAGATGTAGTATACAAGCATGATAACGTCACAATCATGTGACCATGAAATGTGATGAGTGATGAGATATTGTGTGCACGAATTCACATTCACCAGGAACGGTCCATAGTCCATAGTCGGAATTTCAGACCAAACAGGACGATATTGACCTTGGCGGTAGTGTTGATGTCAATTACAAGCGTCTAGCTATACCATTTCTATCTGTGGCTCTCTGAATTCCGAAGACATAATAATATAATATAATAATTGTAAACTGAATCCTTTCCACATCTTATTTTTCAAAGTCCGGTTGACTCGCTCTACAATCGAGGCCTTCTTTTCGCTGAACGTGTTGTAATGGTGCACACCATATTTCTTCATGAGTTTTTGGAATTCTCTATTGAAGAATTCAGTTCCTTGATCTGTTTGTAGATTTTGAGGAGACTGCTCTTTTAAAATAATTCCCATGGCTTTACTCACTTCTGTACTCGATTTATTCCTCAAAGGAATTGTCCAAACGAATTTCGAGAAGCAATTCATGACAACCAATATATATTTGTAACCCTGGTTCTCGCGGGCATATGGTATCATCTCCACCAAATCGGCTTGAAAAAGATCATCGAGTCCTTTGATGATGACTTTACGTCTTTTGAAATTGATTCTTGCTGGTTTGTGGATCTCTTCAACCACTTGTTTTTTAGCGATTGTTGCCATTCTCTCTCTCTCTCTTTATGCAATGATATGAGCTTCACGCCCTACTGACTTCGAAGCCAACAGTAACCGTAATCTGTCGCAAAGTTCATTTGGATCATCCCATCGAATGTAATCTATCTTATTGTTAGTCACCTTGGAAAGGAAAATATTATTTATGGGCAGACCTCGCGAACGTTGTTTTGCTATATACATTATTTCTGTAATACATTTTTTCAGTTCAATATTCATCAACACACTATTATTATTTTATTTTCTACTTCTTTTTAGTTTCGCTATCTATAAAAGCGTGTTTCTTTAGTTTTTCAAACTTCCATTTATTTCAACTTCTTTTTAGTTCACTTCAATATCCCAATTTTGACGAAGGAATCATAATGATATCGGACTCCTAAAACCACTCGTCCAAATATTGGAATTGGAATTATTCCCTAATATTGACGAAGGAACCATAATTTTTTATTCCGAAAACGCCCACTCACAAATTTCGAATAGAATCGGAATATTATTACAAAACTAGTCCCGTCTAGTGTCGTAGAGTATTATACTGTATGAAATATTGTACAGTCGAAGCATCATCCATCATATTGCTCCGAATTCATTAATCTAGATATTGTATGTATGATGATAATGGGCTTATATCACAAAAAAAATTTATGTCTTAGTTCGATAGAACTCACCCAAACTAGCTCACCACCGCCAACCGTTTCTTGCTGTGAGCTCCCTACGTTTTATAAAAAATTATTGAAATCCCCGATTTTTCGGACCTCTGAAAACGAGGCTCGAAACGAGGCGATGATGTGACGTCAAAACCCTAATACTGGAACAAGACTATTCCAGACAGAGATGAATAATACATGATTTCCGACAAAGTGAATTAGTGCGAGATCACAGTTGAAAGAATTAATATATCAGTTGCCTCAGTCTCCGTCGGGCGTTTGGTATTTTCTTTTAACTATGGCGAGATGAGGTTTCTACGTCATAAGAGGGCCCGTTTTCAGAAGGTAGTATTATTTATGTTCAAAAATAAACATTCCAGCTAATTTTTCGATCGAATTATGTCGTCAATCATTATTTATGTATAAAAGGATCATTATAAACATGGTTTGAGTTGGAAGTTCTACTAAGGTGTACACGCCCATTATGACGAATCTCCTTTCATAAACGAATATCTGGCAACCGCACAATCTAGTCGGCCACACTAGTGACATAGGTAACATACAGTGGACCAAAGTTTGGGAATGTCTGATCTTATTCAAATGTAAATGGTTCCGTCTCCTGTGGATAATAGGTCTATGAATTCCTTATTTTATTTGAATTACAGGCAGCAGGTGTCGTAGTGGACATGATAAAAAGCAAAAAAATGGCAGGTAGAGCAGTCCTTCTAGCAGGACCACCGGGCACAGGCAAAACCGCCATCGCTCTCGCCATTGCGCAAGAGCTCGGCAACAAAGTACCTTTCTGCCCCATGGTCGGCTCAGAAGTCTACAGCTCGGAAATCAAAAAAACCGAAGTTCTAATGGAAAACTTCCGCCGAGCCATCGGCTTACGAATCCGCGAAACAAAAGAAGTCTACGAGGGTGAAGTCAGCGAACTCACCCCCGTGGAAACCGAGAACCCGGCGGGGGGCTACGGCAAAACCGTTAGTCACGTGATCATCGGCCTGCGTACCGCCAAAGGTAGCAAACAGCTGAAGCTCGACCCTAGTATCTATGAGGCGTTGCAGAAGGAGAAGGTCGAAGTAGGCGATGTGATTTACATCGAGGCCACTAGCGGTGCTGTCAAGAGGCAGGGCAGATCTGACGCTTACGCTACCGAGTTTGATCTGGAAGCTGAGGAGTATGTGCCTCTGCCGAAAGGGGACGTTCATAAAAAGAAAGAAGTCGTTCAGGTAGGAATGGGGGATTTCGGTCCAAGTAGCCAACCTAGAAACCTCATACCAAAGAAGCCACTTTCGAATTTCAACATCTCATAATTTTAGGCTCATTTTAGTGTAATTTATTACCACATTCCCGAATTTTTCGCTCCTTCCTATCATTGAAAAATCTGTGGCTTTGCTAGCTTCGGCCGAAATCAGCAAGGCCATTTTTGAAAAACAATATTTTTTTATGATCTGATGTGCAAATGTAGTGCTCATTTTAGGCTAATTCATTACCCTATTCCCAATTTTCACTCAAATTGCTTCATTTCGATGGAATCTGATTGTAGGAGTCTACTGAGCTCACGAATTGAAGTCATTCAGAAGAAAAATTGATTTTTGTGAACTTCAGTTCTGATTAGTTGAAAATTCGCGAGATTCACGAAGTGGGCGACATCTAGCTTACATAATACGAACTTCAAACTGAGGGAAAACAAACTGTTGTCTATGGATAAAGTGTATAGACTACATTGCATTCAGCTTGCTGTCAATGTTATAAAGTGTTGGCACTGTTGGTGATAATGGTTGAGTTGGTTAATTTTTTTACATTATTACATTTTTATTAGTTTAGTGAACAGTGAACAGAATTGATGATAGTTGAAACAATTCAAAATAATTATGTCCAGCAAATCAATTGACATATAAAAGAACAGCTACAACATGTTTACAATGCCCAGATTGTCCTGCTTTGCAGGAACAAATACAAATCCATTGTTCTACAGGAGTTCCTATGGACCCCAACTTCAATTTAACTTCATGTGGGGAAGATTTCATCGCAAGTGTAAAAATGTGCCTTTCGTTGAAGTCTTCTGCCTCACACAAAATCACATGATTAGCACGGAGAACTGCTTATCCTTCCACTACTTGGCGGCTTTAAGATTATTTTATTTATGGACAACATTAATATTTATCATTATTAGGTAAAGAAGTTTGATCGTTGCAGTAGGAAGTAGGAATAT